CCTCTACCCCGTCCCAATCAAACACTCTCAGGACAGGGACAGCACGGGGTTAGATACAAAGTAAAGCTCTCTCTACACTGTCCCCATCAAACACTCCCAGGACAGGGACAGCACGGGGTTAGATACAGAGTAAAGCTCTCTCTACACTGTCCCCATCAAACACCCCCAGGACAGGGACAGCACAGGGTTAGATACAGAGTAAAGCTCCCTCTACACTGTCCCCATCAAACCCTCCCCAGATCAGAGACAGCACAGGGTTAGATACAGTGTAAAGCTTTCTCTACATTGTCCCCCATCAAACGCTCCCAGGACGAGGACAGCACAGGGTTAAATACAGAGTAAAACTGCCTCAACACTGTCCCCATCAAACACCCCCAGGTCAGGCACAACATGGGGTTAGATACAGAGTAAAGGTTTCTCTACATTATCCCCATCAAATACTCCCAGGACAGGGACAGCACAGGGTTAAATACAGAGTAAAACTCCCTCTACACTGTCTCCATCAAACACTCCCAGGACAAGGACAGTATGGGGTCAGATGCAGAGTAAAGCTTCCTCTACACTGTCCCCCCATCAATCACTGCCAGTTCAGGGACAGCACAGGGTTAAGTACAGAGTAAAGCTCTCTCTACACTGTTCCCCATCAAACACTCCCAGGACAGGGACAGATACAGAGTGAGGCCTGCACTGTCCCTAAGATGAATTTCTCATTGTGTGTCCCGCTCAGGAAGGGAGTGTTACATCAGGGAGTGGAGTGGCTTGGAAATAACACATTGCTCCTGCTGTGACGCGTGAAACAAATGGGACTTTTTAAATTTGGAAAAAAAAACATAAGTTCTTGACATGCGGGCAGCATTGCCCAAATTGGTCCCTGAGAATGTGTTTCTCTTGCTGCAGTCCCTGTGCAGTGCTGTTGGGGAGAAATGTGTCTGGGCTTGGACCCTTTAACAAACCCCCCCACACCCCCTGTGAAAAGCCAGTGATCCGGGAAGGAGGGAGTTAATCATTCTTCTCGATGGGCGACAAGCTTAGTCCTTTGAGAAAAGCTTACTGGACGCCCAGGGATTCTTATAAACCACTTCCTGCTTCTCAGACTCTATTGTAAGGAGTTGTCAGCAGCTTTCTAAACAGTGTACAACAGGTTGGACATAGAGTCCTCTGTCTCTGCTTCTTAGCATACACACACACAGAGAGAGAGAGAAAGAGATCGAAAGCAAGGAAAGGAGCGTGAGAGAGAAAGTAGAAGGAAGGGAAATTTTAAAAAACACACACACACACAGGACGAGAGAACCATCGCAGCACCTGTGCAGTGAGCTGAAGGCGAACAGGGAATTTCAGAGTGAATGTCTAAAGTTTAAATCGATCACATCGAAGGCTGACTGTGAATCCAATCCAGCCCTATATCGGCTTTAGGGTGCTGCTGGAGAATGCTTTTTGCAAAAGGAGGCAGAACTGAAATGTGTGACTGAGCAGCAATTTTTTTTTTCTCTGCCTGAACCGAAGAGGAAATCGCTGCAAACACTGAGATTTGGAGCTAACAGTTTGATACCTTGGGACAGCGGGACTATGGAAGTGAATCTCTTGTCATCACCTGGGACCTGCAACTTCGACTTTTAAGGTCATTTTTCCCCCTATTTTCTTCTTAAATGTTTTTATTATCGCAGTCGGTGGCTGTCATAGAAGGGGAGGGAGGAAGAGAATTGATGCTTTGCAATTAAATTCTACCAATGTGCAGATTTCCAGGCAGGCAGAGCTGCCAACTTTCTCTCTCTTGCTAGATATAATAATTTTGATTCTTTCTGACTCCTTGGGTGTCAGTTGGTTCTCTCTCTCTCTCCCCCCTTCCTTTTGAATGCTCTCCTCCATCTCTGGAATTCTCCATGCCAAACTATTGTTGATGCTCAGTGCCAGAGGAGCTGGGGCGATGTGGGGGCTCAGAGGGAACAGGGACCCCCTCGGATTGAGGGTGAACGGGCTCCGAGGCGTCCGTGCGCAGCCCCAAAGGCCGCTCGGTCCCACCCTCCGATTCTCTCCCACCCCAGCCAGGCTCGCGTTCCACCATCACCCGAAGAGAGTCGTGGCAGAAATGGGGCAGAAAGATTTTGGGAAGCACCGAGAGAGGGAGAAACTGATGCCTTTGGTGGGACGGTTTGAGGACAAGTTGGGTGTTGAATAAATGAATCAGGCCACTCAGCCCCTCCAAATCCACCTGGATAATCTTTTGCTCATTAAGAATCTATCCAAGTCTGCCTTAGGACGTCCCAAGACTTTGCTTCCGCCACTACCATTTTTGAAGAAGTGCATTCCAAAGACACTCGGCCCTCTGCGAGAAAACGTTATCCTTATCTCTGTCTCTATTGGACAAGCCCTTTATTTTCACCCATGAGCCCTGGTCCCAGATTTTCCCACACCCACCCTCAGGTTCTTAAACAAGGAAAACAGAAATTGTTGGAGAAACTCAGCAGGTCTGGGGAGAGAGAAATGCAGTTAACATTTCCAAGTCCAGTGACCCATCTGGATCAATCAAGTCACCTCTTAGTCTTCAGGTACAAGCTCAACCTGTCCAACTTTGCTTTTAAAAGACAACCCACTTGCTCCAGGTATTGGATGGCACGGTGGCTCAGTGGTTAGCACTGGTGCCTCACAGCGCCAGGGACCTGGGTTCAATCCTACCCTCGGGTGCCTGTCTGTGTGGAGTTTGCACCGTCTCCCTGTGTCTGCGTGGGTTTCCTCCGGGTGCTCCAGTTTCCTCCCACAGTCCAAAGATGTGCAGGTTAGAGTGGATTGGTGATGCTATAGTGCCCATGGATGTGTGGATGCAGGGTTACAGGGATGGGGGTGGGGGAAGGTGCCCTGGATGGGATGATCTCCCAAGAGACAGTGTGGATTCAAAGGGCTGAATGACCTGCTTTCCACACTGTAGGGATTCTATGATTCTATTAGGCTGGTAAATCTTGACCAGGCTGTGTCATGGTGCCAGGGGCCTGGGTTTCAGTGATGATTCTAATATGCTTACATCCCTCCTTAAATAAGATGGCTAGTACTGTACCCAGTATTCCAGATGAGGCCTCTCCAGCACCCTGCATACCTGAAGCATAACCCCTCAGTTTTTGTGAGACAACAAGGTGCAGGGATGGATGAACACAGCAGGCCAAGCAGCATCACAGGAGCAGAGAGGCCGCGCCTCGGGCCTAGACCCTTCATTCAGTTTCCCTTGCCATTGGTTCAAGGCAATTGGAAAAAAGAGGCCAGATCCTTTGTTTTATTCTCATACGGTGAGTGGTTAGGATCTGGAATGCACTTCTTAAGAGTGTGGTGGAAGAAGCAGGATCAATTGAGGTTTTTGCAAAAGAATTTGATGATTATCTGAAGTGAAGAAAAGCAGTCACAGGGCAGGGGGGAATTGGAAACAGTACTTTCCCAAACAGGGAATCTGCGGTGGCCTGACAACTCAGTTGAAGTCCCTTGCCCAAGTGTGAGGGGAGGAGGGCAATAAATGCCATGGGAAGGGGGAACAGGAGGGTGACTACTGAACAGAAGCCCTTATTCTGAATGCCCCCTCCCAGGACATTTCTCAACCTTCACCCAGAGGTTCCACTCCCCTACTCCCATAACAAGAAAACTAACATTTCTTTGGTGCAGCATTTCATGGTTGAGCAGCCCTAGGCCTCAGGCCGTCAGCTGCATGTAGCGTGGGACTCCAGTTGAACAAGGTACCTGATAGGCCAGAAGACCCTCAGGGGCTAATCAAGTGCCCGATTGGTCTTTTTTTTGATAGTGATGAGGTAGTGGTCTGGTTAACCACCAATGAAGAGTCAGTACAGTATGGGACCCTCTTGTTTGAGGTTCTGCTACCATCCCAGCATCCACATGTCAAGTCCACTCTGAATTTGACATAGAGTCATGCAGCATGGAAACAGACCTTTTGTCCAACTAGCCTTAGGGAAAAGACCTTTGCTATTCCCCTTATTCCCCTCGTGATTTTATAAACCGCTACAAGGTCACCCCCCACCCATCCCCAACCTCCTATTCTCCAGTGAAAAAAGCCCCGGCCTCTCCTTACAACTCAAACCCTCCATTCCTTGCAACATCCTGGTAAATCTCTTCTGAACCATCTCCTTGATTCCGTCTTTATTTCAAAAGTATACTTTATTCATAAAAATGTTTAAACATATGTATTCACTGAAGCAGTTCGATTCTGTAGAGTCTTACCGTATTGGGAAGAAACAATCATTGGAGTTTGACTCTCCCGCCTGTTCCAACAACCCAAAATCACTTCTTACGTATGCAACGTGTTATTTACAGATATTTAAGGCATAGGCCACCTTCCTTTCTCGTTTGCTCCCTCAGACTTCTGAGCAGAAAGTATCAGGCCCTTCACCTCAGTCCACAGGACATCCCTCTCTTCTCAGGGGTGATTGCATGCTCCTTCCAATTTTACCTCCTGCTAGTTGGCAAATCGTAGAATTCCCAGCTGCATGGAAGCAGGCCATTCGGCCCATTCAGTTTGCGCCAACCCTCTGAAGAGCATCCCACCCTGTCCCTGTGGCTAATCCCCACCTAGCCTGCCTGTCCCTGGACACCTTAGCATGACCAATCCACCCTAATCCGCACACCTTTGGACTGTGGGAGGAAACCGGAGCACCCGGAGGAAACCCACGCAGACGCAGGGAGAATGTGCAAACTCCACACAGACAGTCGTCCGAGGGTGGAATCGAACCTGGGTTCCTGGCGCTGTGAGGCAGCAGTGCTAACCACTGAGCCACCTGTGGAGGCCAGCAGATTCCCTCAGATTCTAAATAAAAACCGAAAGAACTGCGGATGCTGTAAATCAGAAACAAAAACAGAAATTGCTGGAAAAGCTCAGCAGATCTGACAGCATCTGTGGAGAGAAATCAGAGTCAACGCTGACTCTGATTTCCCTCCACAGATGCTGCCAGACCTGCTGAGCTTTTCC